CGTTACCCGTTACTTATAAAGTGTAACATAGTAACGCATTGGTAGTCCGGTATTCGGGAGGCGATAAAACAATAACCTTTCGGTTACTCATCATTTGTACGCTGATAACTCAAAGCGTTACTTTTTTCAGTAAAGAAAAGCTGCCACCCCTACCACTGAACAATAATCCTCAAAAAAGTTGAGAAAAGTACCTTACTTTTCCAATTTGATCTGTGTTTGATTACCAAAAAATAAGTCATTTTTCCCTTACATTTAACGCCTTTCTAACGCCTAATTTTTTCATAGGGGACATTTACTCGTGAAACGAGTGGTCACAGGTTCAATCACTGTTCACGTCGTTCTTTTTTTCAACTTTTACCTAGGGAGTTTTTATTTTAATTCATTACTATTTTTAAAACTCTTTAGCATTGAAAAGTGGCATAAGAAATAAAAGCAAAAAGCATTCGTCTCTCATAAGCAAATAAGTATTTCTCTGTAGCTATTTCGCGCCATGCTTACTTAATGACATTTTTAATGAGAGAGTTTAGCGCCGTTTCTATTATTTCTACGGTCATTCTACTTTGCTGTGACCTGCGTATTTCATTTTCGGCAATTGCAGCTCATTAAATATCTTAATTTTTTCAATTTTTACAAATTACTACAGCTGCAGGAAAATATCAGTATTGGACGAACTTAGCGCCAATCGAAAAGCAGCACCCAATCCTGTAGAGCGAAACAGTAGGATCGCAACCGTCAAAATTTTATGGAAAAAGGTGGCATTCCTATTAAATGTACAAACGTTTTAGACTATAGGGATCACGACTATATGGTTTGTTTCTCTACAGCGGTCCGTTGGCTTATGTGGGGTGTTTCTATATGAAGAGCCCATGGTGAACTAGATTTGAAAGAATTTGTGAGAAGTTTTTATTGTTCAGTTAGTCATGGAACATATAATGCTGAAGGTAAAGAAATATCTACAAGTACTTCATCATCGACCTCACCAAACACATCAAGAACAAAACAATATCAACTATAATAGAACAAATTGTTATGCTGTCGGATAAAAAAATACTAGTATATTATCCTATAAACATTCGAGAAGACGAAAAGCCATCATCGCAATATGTTATAAGATCATCCTTAGCAGTACAAGTTGATCCTGAAGCAAAAACAATTGATTTCATCTGCGAGCTGGAGCGTCTCGATAAGACAAAAGCGAATTATCTTGAACAAACAATAGGCAAATGTGTTATATGGTAAAATCGTGGAAGAAAATGAGTTATCAATAAAAGTGAAAAAAGATATGAAGTTGTTTGATAAAATTGAAGATTTACAACTAAAACAGTCATTAGCTGTGATTTTTCAAAACGAACCATATCTATTCTGGAATGAAAATATTTGACAATGTTGGTACATCTCATGTTAGTTTATTCTTTTGTTTTATATACGTTTGTTTACATGAATAGATCTAGTCATAACAGTTAGAATTAGTATTTGTTCACATGCTCAGGAAGAGTAACCTATTTGATTTGGAGGTCAATAAAAGTAAAGAATATAAAACTAAATGAATTCCATGTTTTGGGTATTAGATAGAGTAAGGAACAATTGCAATCTTCATCGAAAATATAAGAGTGATTCCGAAAGGTAATATTGACTTCTTTTGCCATGATGATATTTCTGCAATGATTTTAGAACATTTTCATCAGTTTTCTTTACTTCTTTTATAATGCATTCTTTTTAAGCTCTTGGATAGATGCTTTTTATACACATTCAACAATAAATTCTCTTTGCGCAAAATCATCTCTTTTCAAAAGGATTGTTCCACTAAAAGATCATGGCTCTATACTCTGCGCGAAGAAATTAAGCTTTTGAGGGGGTCTTATGATGTGTCGCAGAAAATGAAAATTTCCGTTTCCTGCTGCTGATGTAAGTTATACTCAGCTCGAAATAAACCAACATTATATAGAGATTTTGAAAAAGTCATATTATTTCCTTCGTACCAGTCTTATACTCTGTCTTCTCTTCTTTGTTTCACACTACTCTTCCTTCTGGTTTTTACGTTCTTGAACAGAAAAGAGTCTTGCAAGTCTGGCAGTGAAAAAAACTATTTAATTTGATCGAACAGTGAAGATCTTCTGTGCTTTTCTTTTCGTTCTAGTTTCTACAGACAAACATAGTGCAAAAAATGTGAATACAAAGATATATCTCTGATATATATACATCGTTGCCCCATGTGTTTTAACAAATCTGCTTTACGTTTCTGCAAAGAATCTACACAAAATCTGCTCTATCTGTTAAAATTCTGATAACACCTGCAGCTAGGGGTGTCACTTTACTGTTTCTTTACTAGTAACAAGAAATGTTTGAAAGTTACTTGTTACTAGAAGCGGTAACTCTTTTCGTTATTTTCTTACCAGTTACTAGTAACTTATTTTGTTACTCTGTTACTTGTCATCTCTAAGAGTAACAGAGTAACTTTGTTTTTCTTGTTTTTAAGTAATACATTATTAGTTTCGGTCTCATTTCAAGAGACTATCGGTAGTATATCGTTTTAAAAAACATATGCATATTATCCATACTGTGATAGGGTTTCAGTCTAATGTTTTTGGGTCTACGGGCTAGACGAACGGATGACGAAGTATTGTAAAGGTTTGTTTATGGGGAACAAACAGTCAGTAAGTAGACAATCACCCTCATCCTCAACCTCACTGTCTGAAATCATTGTGTCGCTTCAAAAATATTATTCCAATAGTCATTAAATGATATTTCTGTTTAATCACGAAAAGCAGAATTCCATAGGGTGCTAAGAACGAAAAAAAAACTTACTTTATTTCTTTTGCTTAAAGTAACAAAGTAACTCTTTTTGAGTTACCCCTTACTAGTAAAAGGTAACAAAGTAATAAAAGTTGTTACTTGTTACCCGTAACAAGAAATGTTTGACTATTTCTTGTTACGAGTAATAAACAGTTTTCTTTGTTACCCCTGAAAAGTAAAAGGTAAAGCAGTAACAAAAATTTGTTACTTTTTCCGGAAAAGTAACAAAAAAGTAAAAGTAAAGTGCCACCCCTACCTGCAGCAGATCTGTATTGTTAAAATTGGATCTGAATAACGTGAGTATTACATTTCGGCGTGATGCAGAAGTTGCATTTGCCGCAAACTGAAAATACCAGAAAATAGAATAATTCTCTAAAACTTACGATAATGGGAAAATAATAACACCACTTTTTGAACCCAGGGTAAAGCCTCGCTAAACGTTCAGAAGAACGAGGAAGGCAGGAAACTAGGAGATCAGGAAAGTAGCACAGCAGGAAATTAGAAAGTCAGGAAAGCAGGATAACAATTTATTTTTCTACTATAAACCAGTACCGCAAGATGCTAGAGAGCTCGGAAACATCTCATTGTACTCAGAATTTATTTCTCTATCTAATTGCTATAGTTTAACTTGATTTACGGAGGTTTTCTAGAGACCCAGCATTTCGGTGTAACCCCTTTGTTGAACTGGAAACTTTCCCAAACCATTTGTACTGGATTCAGTATCTGCTAAATCCTAGAAACCCAACGATTCAGCTCATTTGAAGGAAATATGGCTGAGTTAAGGACTAATCACCTGAAGGATTCCACGCCAAAATCACATTTTTGTAATCTTTTGCGCATATCTTCACCAACGAAAACACTTTTCGGAGAAAACGAGCCATAACTTTGTAGTGCACGAGACGGCGAATCTTTTGGCGCTAGAATGAAGTGGCTAGCTCTTTAGAAGAAAAACTAGATAGAGTTGCAAAATCAGAAAATCCAGCTCGGACCACGTCTTATTTCCACGCCTGCCCAAAACCTTGGGTGAGCTCTAACATTTTAAAAGACACATTACCATGCTCAGTTTTTAATGGAGAATCGTTTGAAAAAACTTTTAGAGCTTCATCCGCTGACTCGAAAAAGTTGTGGACTGTTTTCGAAAAAACAGCGTTTTTCGTGTTTTCGACCTACCGTCAGTGTTTCGCATTTTTCTCCACAAAGACTAAGCCAAATCGAAAAAAAAGGTCAGATTCGTGATCAGTAACTCACGAAGAATCCGAATATGTGTGTTAAAACGAACAATAAAACTTGTGGAAACTTTGAAGTACTGGCACCTTATAATTATACACTAAATGTTGTGGACGGGTGAGTAGCCAGCCATGAGAGTGAGCCACTCAGGTGATTTGCCTGAATCACCATCGACATATAGAGTTTTGATGGTGAGAGTGAGGATCATATTTTCGCTATGCACATCGGATAGACAGTGCTGAAAACTATACAAAAGCTTTGTCACTCATCTTTACGCCATCAAATCTTATGATTCTGTTTTATTTCACAGAAACACTTCACTGTGAGATGACTCTGTTAAAAGTAGACAACGACGTGTTAACGAATGAAGCAGTTTTCATAAAATAAAACGTTTTGACGTACATTGTTAGTTTCTACGTGGACGGTTTACATTTCTTTTCTTATAAATAATAAACGTTGGCATGTCCTTTGAGCTTCTTCACATTTTGGAACTTTGTCTGCTCTTACTTCCGTTCTCAATTTAGCAACAGTACAGCTGAATTGTTACTTATCTGTATTGATACTTTTGTTTGGTGCGTTTAGCACTATTCTAAATCAATTCGTATTTTCTCAACATTCTCTCCGAAGCAATCCCTGCTTAATTCACTTTCTTTCGTCAACCATTTCAAGTTTATTTTGCATTTGTTACGAGAAAAGAAACGAGCTATAGAACGGTAAGTGTATTACACCTTGTCTGCACGATCCTTAGCGCTCATATGGAAAATTCATTTAGAGTTACTGTATAAGAACTACTATGCTTCTCGAAGTACGACATACTTTGATATCTTTTGTGATGAATAAATATATCAGTGACTCCAGTAAAGTGTTGTAACTGAGGGTGAACCAGAAATAGATGTTGATATTTAGAACATTTAGACAACAAATTTCGCACAACAGGGTTCGAAAAACATAGTATCAGAGACCAATAGGAAAAACTTCAGATGGTGAGTTTCGATGTACGAGTTCAAAGCTGAACGAAAAGTAATAATCGACATTTTACGAAATTAAGTCCGTACCAATTGAAAATGGAACTACAGAGTTCTTTACTTCGTGCTCCTTATTAATATTTAGTAATTTCAAATGACCCACTGGTATTGTCATGATCCACGGACGAGGCTATTGTCTCGACGGAGAGACCAGGTGTCTAATATTTAAGACGATTTAATTCAATGTAGTTTATTTCCACTCTCATATATGCTGGATATTCAATCATTCTCAGCAAATATGACTTCCTATAAATAGAATAACGGGTATCAACAGTTTTATGGGTTTTCGAGTACACCTCCTCAGCAGAACTATCTGGATTCCTTCACCGGTCTATCGATCGATTTAGACGGTCATAGATCGTCTACGCCTGAACTGAACCGAGTTTTCAATAGAATTGCCTTCGAAGGCGTTTGAGATTGTTGAACTCTTCGGTGAGCGTACTCATATTTTTGTATAGAAATTTTCGTCTGTGTATTCAAATCGGATAATACTGTTTCAGGTACAACTATGAGCAAACAAATGTTAGCATCATGCAGAAATGTAAACAATCGCATTAAAAAACTCAATTTATTTCAATCCTATCCTTCGCCCCAAAATCAACATATCGTAGAAAATCAGCTAGCTTCTACACGCTTGTTTATTGTTCTTCTGATAGCATCCATAATAATCCTAGTCGTTTACACCTCTTTAATAAACGTAACGATAAGCGTTACTATTCAATCACCATCATTATCCACATACAATGAACTGTATGAGAAATCTTCAAAAACCATTAGTTGCTCATGTAAAACAACTTCGATTCCATACCGATATTTTATCAGAATATCTCCTGTCTACCATCAATTATGTTTAAGTGAATTTGTTCAATCAAACTGGGTCAATAGTGGAGGAATAAACTGGATAAGAATTGACGGCGACTACTCAGCCACGGCTGATTTTCGATGGTGGGCAACGGCAGCCTTCAAAATGCTAGCAATGTTTTGCGACTTTTCTCAAGAAGCCATAGGAAATGGACTCGTTGACTTTAATTCAACTACTTATCTTACACCTAATCTCAAGTCATTGTCAGTATTTGAATCTGAAACGAATGCATTCATAAATCTTTTTATTGCAGTCACAAGAAATGCATTTCAAGGATCAATAAACGTCATCCGTAATCTTACTCAAGGTGATGCTATTCAATCCGGTCTGTTGACAAACTATTATTTCTATTTGTATTCTATTTATAACGGAATATTGTGGAGTGAAATACGTGGTGCGAACCAGCATTACGGCACATGTTCTTGCCGCAAACTTCCCACTTGCACCTCACCAGCGACTATCTATAATATTTCAGGAACACACATGGCCAATGTCATTTTTCAACCACGCGGCCTATTAGTAGGCTGTTACGTTCTCGAAGCCTTATTACAATCCAATTTAGCCTGTATGTATGACCAGTTATGTGTAAACACTTTGCAATCATATATAAGTACAATTAACACCAGGGCACTAAATATGTCAGCACCTAGTCGGTACGAGCTAAATTCAACTCTAAACGAGATTGTTTCTCTGCTGATGGTAGAAGAGTGGAACTCAAATGCCTCTTTCTCATCTTATTACAAACAGTGTGCTCCTCAAGAATGTACATATACATATTCCGGTCATAACAATGTCGTTTATATTGTGACAACGATCATTGGATTAGTCGGCGGTCTGACAAAAGTGTTACAAGTTATCATTCCACCAATAGTTAAATTTGTGAGGAAAGAAAAGCGACCTAAAGAAGAAGTTGCAGGTATGATATCCATCTTTTAGGAGACACCTTGAAAGCAAAGCATGACATACTTATTTCTGAAAAAGGTGTTACCGATTATTATTCCATCAATAGTTGAAACTATGACAGCACTCTGCGGCGCAGGGTCAGGATAATTAAACATATATAAATATTTCTAATTTATGTAACGCTTCGTTCAACGGCTTCACGCGTGTTCCATATCTGGAAATACACGAGAGTGAAAATCATACACAATGGAGGACATCCATAGCATTAGCCACAGTCTCGTAGTTCTTTTCTTCGCAGTTTTTCATCTATATATTTTCAGGTAATAAGTTCAGCAATGTTTATCAGAAGGCCAAGCAATATGTGAAAACGTTTAATATAATAAAATCATATCCACCTCCAGTCGATCCTCACGACATAGGAAATCAGTTAATATCAACTCGTTTATTTGTGGTTTGTCTATTAGCAGCATTATTTATACTCACTGTTTACACGGCATTGATTGATGTTACAGTAACACATACGGTCACTTCGCCATCATTGGAGCAATACGAGAAACTGTACAAAAACTATCCTTTAACACTCTCCTGTCCATGTAAGACAATATCAGTTGGCTATAGCGAAATTATGAGTTTCAATCCAACATTTCATCAGTATTGCAACAGCGATTTTGTGTCGCTGAATTGGATCAATTACTCAAACAGTCATGGCAACGCGGAGTTTTTCTCCTACGATTACCGATGGACGGGTCCAGTGTTATTCCAGTTCTTGAGAGGTCTATGTCAAATATCAAATGTGAGGATTAATGATGATTTGACTGTTTTTAATTCAAGCCAATACGTTACGGCTACTGTTCCATCAAAGCCTTTATTTAACTCTCAAACACAGTCGCTCATCGATCTTTTCGTTTTAGCTACCACACAGACTTTTTTAC